TTGGAGGCTGATTCGAGGCCTCTTGAAGGCCGTCTGGCTGCCTCTTGGAGGCCTCTTGGGGGCTTCTTGGGCCTCCTTGGAGGCCTCTTGGCCTCGTCGGGCGGAAGGGTGGAATTGTCGGTTCGTGTTCCCCAGCTTGGGACCCTTTTGGGGCCGTCATGGGGCTTTTTTGGGCTGATTTGGGCGCCTCTTGGGCCGTTTTGTGGCTCTCTTGGGCCGTCCAGGGACCCTCTTGGGGGCCTCCTGGGCCGTCTTGGGGCTGTCTTGAGGGCCCAGGGGCGGTCTTGGCGTCGGAAGCTTGAAAAAGGAACAACGTGAAAAACATCGAACAACACAAAGACAATCATTCATTTTTGCCGCTTGGGGCCCTCGTAAGTGTCCTCTTGGAGCGTTCTCGGGGGCTCTTTGGGGCCTCTCAGGCGGTCTTAAAGGCATTTGGGGTCATCTTGGCAGCCTTGGTGGCCTCCCGGGTCCGTCTTGGACGCCATCTTGGGCATCTTGGACGCCTTGGAAAGCTCCAGGGACGTGTCTTGGCGCCGACAAAGCCTCGGGAAGAGGGGCCGGTGTGCGCGACGAGGTGCGGCGGGGAGAGGGGGGGGTATTCAGAGGGTAAGTGTTTATAGCGAGCATAGCGAGCATCCCGCCGGCGTCTGGCTCAAGGCGCCGGCGTCATGTTTGCTTGGATTGTCTTAGGATTCGGCACTTCTTTATTGCATCGGGCAAATAGATTCTGATCACGCCCCTGGAAGATGCCCCATCTTACATCCAATTTCAAATTTCTTACCAGATCGTCCTCATCCTGTTTTTGCTTGGTAGCGGAGCTGGCCCCATTAAGTTGTGGTCAGCTCTGTCTATCGCAATACTTATCCACGGCACGGCTTGGTATGCCGTTAATACCACTGCGACGTCAGAGCGTGACTGCTGGCAAGCGGGCGGAAACGCCCTCAGCGAACACGCTACATCCACTATGGGCGACATCCGCTGGAACATTCCAGAAAACGTATGCGCCACGGCTTTACGCCACTGCACCCCAACCTACGATGAGTTTGGGAACAAGATGAAGTGCCAGCTTCCGTTGCGCGGAAACGCAGACCCCATATTCTAGAACCAACATGGGGACACGCCTCGACAGCCAGTCCGCCGCCTAGCGGCGATGGGCACTCCGAGTATGACCAATGACAATGCCTAGAACTCCGCACGGAAGCAGTACTTGAAGCACGTCACTTTTGACGTTCTTTGGTTGATCGCTGGATGTGCTATAGGTTTCATGCAACGCGGTAGCCACAACGACGCAGGCGACAACGCGACGCGGGGCTCATGCTGGGACCCCTCAGGCAACGTATCGTTCCTCGAATTCGCTCGTGAGGTGCATGCGTGGCTGAACGTTGCCAATGCCCGCGTGACTCCACAACAGCAGGCTGCATGCCTACAGCGTTGTCTGGGAGGGGTGGCGCGCGCAATCGCGATGCGAATCCATCCCCAGAAAATCAACTTCGGCGCGACGATGCAAGGAGTCCGTGCGGACCCCGCCACCTACATGATGTTTCTCCTAAGCGCAAAATTCGAGGATCTCGAGGATGAGCGATAGCTCACCTCGGGGACGGCGCTCCTGGACTTCAGTCCCGACCTGGGTGAAAGAACAGATTCGATCCTCGCTGGATTCGAGATGGCCCGCCTCGAGGCCGACTCGGTCGGCTTTGCCATTCCGAGTTTCTAGCTACTGACGACAGTGCTTTTCGGCGCCCTGATGTTCGGCCCTGGCAGGGCGACCCAACTGCTACAGCCCCTCAATGATCCACTGCCACGAACCCAGCAACAGTGCGACGAACTGTTGGATCGCATGCGTAGCTGCGGCCATTTGGCTGAAGGCGCCCCCGACGACATCGGAAGCGCGTTGCTGGGAAGCACAGGGCGCGGGAACGCGAACACCTCCATGGCGCGCGCCGGCGGAGACGCGGTCGCGCTCGTCAACGTATGGGTTGACGACCCACGCAACCAAGAGGAGTCCGCAGCGTTACATGCCACGAATCCTCGGGGCCAAGGAATTGGTGGAAGCCGCCCAAAACTGGGGGCAGCCATCAAATCCCCAATCATGCACTCCTCCTGAGAGCCAGACCTCCCCATGGGGCTCAACTTCCCATAGGGGCTCGACTTCCGGAACAGATGCCGACGCGATATCATCAGGTGGGAACGAACGTTTAGATATGTCGGATTCCCCCCCCGTCTCGGTGGCGCGGAAACCGCGGGGCACTTCTGCCTGGGATGCCGGCGCGCGAAACGTCGATGGCGACGGCTTACCAAGACGCCCATGCGACGGGCGCGCAGAGCGGTGCGGAGGGTATACCATCGGCGGGGGAGGGGTCGGGGGAGGGGTGGGCGTCGCAACCGACGGTTGCGCGACGAAGGCTTCGCCGCGTTCCCATCGGAACCTATTGAAGCCGAATGCGAGGGCACTCTCCTGGGGCATGGTCGGGGCAGACGCCGCGCCGCTGGCGCGGGA